GACTAACAAGTTCCTTTTGATCCCAGGCTGTTTAGAGCTGTCAGTCAGTCTCCTGAAGGTCTCCTGTCCTAGATGAGTTCTGTATTCTGTGTAATTAATTTGCTCAGACTTTGGCCCAAGACAAAAATCTTGTTGTTGTCACTTGGTATCTGAAGTAGAGGAATGCTTTGGTGGGGTAGGGAAAAAAAAAGACGGGTAATATGGTACCTTAAATATGTCTGTAAGGAGTTAAAAAATCCCAATGAACATTCACCTGTCTTCATTGAATATACCCAGGCACTGCTTTTCGAACATCTGCAACCCTTTGAGTAGCACTTCTTATTTTTCTGCTTGTAGACAAGACTTACTTGTATTAAATGTGAGCAGGTAGATAGGAAATACTGTAATCTCTGGGGGAAAAAAAAATCGCACAGTATGTTTTTTTCAAGATACACGGCAACTACTTCCCAATTTAAGTACAAGATGAAGGAAAACATAGCTTGGATTTAATGTAAAACTCTAGTAGTTGTACTCTGGTCACTATGTGTGTGTGTGTCATTCAAAATGCTATGCCGTCTGGTATTACTTGTAATTGCTGCTCAGGAAAAAGCTTAACCAGGAACAATTTTTTGAGAGTTGCTGCAGTTGTATTAGGGATTGTGCAGGAGTATGAGTTTGTGCCCTCTGTTCACACTAGTTCTTAAAATCCCCTTGTTGCCAAGTTTCCTCAGCAAGAAAAACTGTGGTATTACAGTATAGGTCTTTACAGAAAGGTGTTACCTATGCAGTGCCTGAACTAGTATTTAAGTGTCTTGCGGTTTGTCTGACTGCTAACTGCTGAGTAGCATAGTCATATTTTACTTTAAAGAGTGAAAAAACACCCACAAAAAATCCAAAAAACCCCAGAAAACCTAAGCAATGTCAATGGGCATACTTGGGGATTTACCTTTTAAAGTAGGTCATGGTGTCCTAAATAAGTCAGCAGATCTATGTCTGTAGTATTTTGTAATATTTTTGTGTAACATAAAATGTTATATAGAGGCTGATCATTCCCCTTCATGGAGCATCTGAAGGTATTGACTCTTCTTTCCTTGTCACTCCCTCAGCCTTTAGAGTCTGATTTGCAGCCGAGTGGGGCTGTAACGCTTTTGGAGGCAAACCTGCTCTTGTCTAACTGCTGAAAAGTCACAAGAAAAAAGAAGAAATTAAAGCTGTAGCCAAGCTGGTAACTGGCAGAGTAGACTTGTGTGTAGACCAAAACTTGGAGAAAACAACCTCCTAAATTAATTGCAGCTTAAACTTTTAAATTAAAACAGTAATGAAAAAACAGTTTCTGTTTAACTTGTATACAGCCAATTGAAGAAGCACAGGGAAGGGGGAAGGTAGTTAGTGTTGCTAATCAAAACTTTAAGCTCCTATATGTATACAAGCTTTGGAAATCTAAGAAGTGGTAATTCTGGCACTGTAATTCTGGTACTGCCCGTTATTTCTTTTGGCAACCAGAGCTTTTGATTGTCAAGTGAATGCTGATGCAGTGTGGTCCTTGCAGAGATGTCTAAGTTGTGATACAAGACAAAGGTGTTTTCTTGAACTCTTTACACAGACCAGTGGCTGTCATTCATTTGAAGTTCTTTAGCAATTTGTGAAGTTTTTCAATACAACAATTGAGGAAATTTAACTTGAACCAAAAAAATAGTTAATATTGTTTGGATCTATAAATGGGGGTTGTATATAGCTTTTTAAGAAAAACATTATATGCTGTCTGTCCTGTATTCTTGTTTAGTGGGGGAATGGGACAGAATAGCTGAATTGCTTTGCTTGTGGAAAGGTAACTCAAAATTCAGATTTAGCTGTTATTCTGTAACTGCAGAGTGTATTATGAACATGGTCATAACATGTTTGTAACAGTTGAGTACTATCTTTTAAGTCTTCCAGCAAAAATTGTTACATTCCTTGGCTACATTGAGGAAGTTGTCTGAAGTGGCTCTGGTGTTTTACATTTTTGTAATGTGTCATCTATGATGCAACTTTATAGAAGAAAATGTATTTTTGGTGAGACTGCTGGGACTGAGGGAAATGGTCTTAATTCTTACATCTGTCTTAGAGCAGTTTCAGTCCTGTGACAAAATGGAAGAAATACATGAATATTAAACCACTGTGGTTGCCTTTATCTTATGCATTTACAGCTCCCTTGAGAGATACTTGACTCAAGAAAATTACGACTTTTCCTATTACTTAAAAGTTGAAAAGTATGTCAGTTTTTGTCAGTGCCTAGTTCAGAATTTTCCAAAAACCTGATATATGTATATTTTATTTTGGTTTTAATATCTGGATTATTTAATATCTGGACAGAGCATGCTGTGCTCTGAAGAGCTGTATAGCTTCACAGATGATGTGGTAGTATTTCAGATGAGTTGTGGAAAATAAATATTCAGTACTTTTCTAGGCAGAAAGATTTCCACAGCTCTTCTAGGGTGCTTGAAAGCCCGTATGGTACTCTTCTGATTTAAAGATGTTAGATTTATTTATTTATTATTTATTTTTTTCTTCTCTTTTGTGTGATGTTAACATGTTTCTAAATTTCAGTCTAGAAATAGCACCACAGTTTCACTTGCAGGTGAAATGATTCCTCTGGATAACTGGCAAAATACTTTGAGTTGTTAAGTGTTTATATAAGTACTGCAATAAGAAAAGGAGCATCATTCACCCTGTCCATTTCATTCCAGGTTTTGCTGTCAACATCCATATTACTGTTGTCCAGGTGTCAGTCTCGTAGGTCCATGTGTTCCTTTATACTTCCAGATGTATGGGGATGATAGCCTTTTCCTTCTGTGCCACCAGCTGTAATAGATCCCTATGGTTGTCTCTATATAGGTGCCCTGTTGCAGACTTAGAAGAATCAAATTAGAGAAATGGCACTTGCATTTCCTTTTATGTATCTCAATTGTAGAATTAAAATGTAATGCCAGCTTTATTGCTAGTTGAATTTTTATTTTTTTTTAATTACCCCAAGTAGCCTTATTGAAGCATTGAAGTAGCCTTATTTTTAAACTTGGTGTTTCGCAACATGCTCTTAAGAAAGTCCGGTTTCGGCCTATAAAGTGCACTGACATTTTTTTGCTTAGTTTAGTATTTTAGAGACATTTTGTTTGTCTAAGCATGTGTTCTTTGATATTGTTAACTGTGACTTATGTGCTTGGGTGTTGAAGGAGATTTTGGAATCAGAGACCACGCTGTGCTGAGTACCCCCGTAAAAACTGTCTTCAGGGTAGCCAGTGAGTGTTGTCTTCAGCATGTGTGTCGAGTGCATGGGGCTGGCAGCTCACTTAGGCCCTTGAACCTCAGCCACAGCTTGAATTAGACTCCTAGTGGCCCTGCCTATGTGAATTATTATATTTTGGTTGCCTTTTGAAATGGACAGACACACATCTTACACAGAAGTTCCCAAGAAGAAGCACTTCAGAATGAAACAATAACGAAGAGCTTCTCAAATACAGCAGAGCTCTGTCAGCTCCACTCTGTTGCTGACACTTGACAGAAGATACTTGCATGGCTTCTTGTGGCAGTAAACCTTTATTCTGGATGAGCCAAAACTTGTTTTATGGATGTGTGGCTTAAGGAGCACTGCATGCACGTGCTAAAAGTAGAATTACTGTTACATTTTGCCTGAGCAGCACTGTAAGAACACTCAGTAGCAGTCACAGATACTAGAATGTGCAAAGGATCTCCCAGTGTTAGCATCATCTTGGGGTCTGCTGGGAGACCTTAGCTTCAGGGAAGGTGGCAGGACAGGACAGTGCTCTCTGGGGAGCACTGGCAAAATAGGAATGAAAATAGCTTGGCTAGCTTGACTGGAGAGCAGCAAGATTTTGGTTTTTAACTTGGATCTTCCTTCCTAGTTTCAACTGTTACTTAATAAGCACATTTAATATTAAAAATTTGACTTGTTTACTGGGTATATGAAGCAAAAGGACTTTGTGCTGAATTCATATTTTCGATAGGCTGTGTGGTCTTTGACCTCAACAGATCAATGGAATTTCTTTAACTGTTACCTAGCTTCATAGGTATTGCTCTAGAAAGTGTTTGTGAGATTTTTGTTGGTTGCTTAATTTTTATAAACTGAGAGTAGGACTTGTAATAGTCATGTAAATTTCTGTGTGGGATACAGACACATCAGCTGCTGCTCTTGGATACTGTTCAGTGTTTTCCATGTATTTCTATACTTGATTATAAACTGATTTAATTTAGGAAGACTTAGTTGCCTTAGTGTGTTTTGAGAGCACTACATAGACATGTCTCAACAAAATCCTCATTCAATTGATGAGGCTGTTGAATTAGGGTTTATTATTTACCTATGAATAAATTCTGGGATTGGTTCATTATATGGGGCAATAATTGCCTATAGACTGTTTGGACTTCTAGGTTAAAATACTTCTCAATTTGACAGATCATCTGATGATCATGAGTAGGGAGAATGTCTTTGTTTAGAATACAGGTGTCTGCTAGGGAGGGCAGGAGCCTCCCTTGGAATGAAAAATGTAAACCCCCTCCCTCCAAATTACTACAATTTTGAAATCAAGGGGCTTTCAGGCAAAGATCTGGGGATAGGAATAACAGTTCTTTACTAGTATTTATAACAAGGCAAACAAACAACAATAACTACAGCATTACCAAGAAAACAGAACCAGAGTGCCCGTGACAGCTTTCTCGGCTGAGATGGGAAGGGATGGAGGAGAGGCTTTGCTTCACAAACCCCTCGGGCAGTCAGTGCCGGTGCTCCTGCAGGGCTCTGAGGAACACTCAGCTGGAACAGCAGGGATGAGCTGAGATCCTGGGCCGGTGGCTGAGGTGGATCAGCAGCTCCGCGGCAGTGCCTGGCAGGCATGTCCCAGCATGGCAGGGGTGTGAGGCCCACCAGCGAAGAAGAAGCAGCTCTGTCTGGGTGATGGCGAATTTCTTTCTTCAAGCAACAACTGCTTTGAGCATCTGTTCTGCTTTGAAGCCGAAGAAATCAGCCAGCCCCCAGCTGCACCTGCCTTCCCTTTTACCTGCCCCCTTCCTCTCTGTGCCCAGCCAAAGCTCCCTTTCTTCTCAAGCACCCAACAAGCACCAGCAATAGGGTGTGACCCCAGCTAATGGGCAAAAAATTCCGGTAGATGAGACGAAACAAAAGGAAGGATACTCAACCCCCAACGGAGCAGTAACTAACAAATTACTTGGGTTTTGAGAAAGTTCACATTTGTAAGTATTGAACTATTTGAATACTACTCAGCAATAAGGTTTTGACGTATAGCTTGCTTAAAGCTTCTTTCTTCTGGTGTGCTTCTTTTTGTGCAGTTATTTCAGCATTTTTGTGTGTTGCTAATAACTAAAAACTGTTGCTAAGTGAAAGTTTTCATCCCAGCTTCCATGTTTTGTACATACTTGGAAACCTCTGAATGAAATTAGTAACTTATTATAGCTTGCATTTTATAGCTTTTTACCTTGATAAGATACAAAAAATCTTTACTCTGTTAAAATTACTCTGATTTTTAAATTATTTTAAACAAAGGACTTCTTAATAAATCAATCTTTAGCTAAGGTCTGTCTGTAATACACTGTGTGCACTAGAAAGATATCAATTTTAAGTGTAATGTTTCTATGAAATATTTTGTCCTAAACTATCAATGTGTGAACTCTAAGTTGACATTTAAAGTGCTTATGATGATGCAGTCTGTCCTTTCCATGCTGCTGCTAAGGCAGTGGTGCCAGAACTCAGTTGCTTCCTGCCTTTCCCAGGTACCTGCCCTTCTTCAGATCCTTATCCAGACAAGCTGCAAAACAGCAATGGGTTGAGCTACCAACGGGCTGCTCACAGGCTCAGCTTAAATGAGAGGCTACAAAGGAAGCTTTTCAAACCAGATGTTTGTTTTACTAGCCTTGCCCAGTCCTTAGGGTGTACTTTGATCACACCTGAGCCAAATTTAGCACAGAGAGAGACTAAATGCCTGACATGCGTGTCTTGAGGGGTTTAGAGTAGTCCTGGATTCAATTCTCTGCTCTTTTCTCAGCAAGTACCTTCTTCAGCCTTCTCAGGCAAGTGTTATTCCCATGTGTCTGCTGGAGGCTGTTCTGATTCTGTACTAAATGTCAGGCAGAGTCTTGAACCTCTCTGTCTCTGACCTCCCAAGTTAATGTTCTCCTATTGAGTTTATTGTCTGTCTAAAACACAAAAAACTTTTTTCATATGAAAGTCTGAGATCTACCATGATCCATCATAAAACACTCGGTCGGCTTGTTGACCAGGTGTTTTTAAGCTAAGTGGAAGGATGGATAAATGCAAATTCATGCTCTTAATTCTTACAGAAAAGAGGTGTATTTTACAGATTTGTAGCATCTCATTTGCCATTGTGCGAGTACTCAGGCCTAGGTTGGATGGCAGGTTTGTGCTGCCTGTTGATCTCATGAGGTTGGGATGTCTCAGCTTTTCCTTGCTCCTCAGATTTTCATTTTTTTTGTTAGATTGGGTGGCCTCAGGCGTTGAACATCCAGAAGGTTGCTCACACTGGCTTTCAGAGACTAGTTTGGGCTTCATTTTAATAGAACAGGTTGATGAGATACTCTATAAAATTATTGAAATGCCTTTGAAGTTCGTACTTGGAGTGTTTCAGTAAAATAGTGAATCTGAGGAAGGAGAGTAAAGGAGCTCAATTGTTTCTTAAACAAAAATAACTGAAGTTAATGCTTCCAGTATGAACTCAGTGTAAAAACCTCAAAATAATACGTTGATCCTCTGAGCATGAAACTCATTGAAATGCTTTTTTTTTTTCCTTTAATTTAGATCTAATACAGTGCACAAATGAAATGAATGTGAATATTCCACAGTTGGCAGATACACTCTTTGAGAGAACTGCAAACAGTAGCTGGGTTGTAGTGTTCAAAGCTCTAATTACAACACACCACCTCATGATGTATGGAAATGAGGTAAGATATGATTTGCTCTGTTAAAGCCTACTTGTCAGCTTTTAAAAAATTGTCTCAATCTGTAAAGCATTAGATACGTGCTTCAGTTTTTCAAAGATTTTGTTTTTCGTCTGCTGATGGCTATAAAGTATTTGTCCAGACATAAAGAAATATTCCTTCATTATTTCAATACCAAAACATACCAGCATTTCCAATTTACTTGCAGGTATCTGTGTTGGTCTGTGAGGGAATAGTGAATGGCCTTTCTATATTAAAGGCTTGAAAAACTTCTGATGAGTTTTACTTCATTAGGGTAGTGCTTATCAGTAGCAGCACAGCAGAAGAGTCTTGTTAGCACTCTGTAAATGTGTAGCCAACCTAATAATAGATAAGAAAGAATAGTTGCTGGAGGGGAGAGGACTATGGTGTCTAGAATATTTCATCTTGCAGGACATCACCTAATGGGCTGAGTCTTCATATGCTGTTGCTGATAATATTCCTCTGAAACACTGTCCTACTGCATTTAATTCACTTAAATGATTGCATCTCAATTTATTAAAAGCTTCCTAGTCAATAACTTGGAGTTAGAAATTTAACCTCTCTTGCACAAGCCTTATATTAAAAGCTCAGCTTTGGTGAGGTAACAGTCCTGAACCTGTGTGTGGTCATTGACGTAAGAAATGATTGTCGACCACTGGTAACTTTGAAGTGACGATTCTCAAAAGTGCTTTCCAGCCATTAAACTGCTGTGAAAGCTTGGTGTTCCCCCTCTCTGCCAAGCTCTGTGAATTTCATTGAACTGATCTGTAAAACATAGTGTGCTCTTCACACTACAGCGGTTGAGCTACATCAAGCTTCCAGAGCTTGGATAATGCAAGTAGTATTTTTTTGTGTTTTCCAGCTTGTCTGTTCTAAAGTACAAAGTTTACTAGGCAGCATCCTCTAGGGTTATTTTTATTTTATTCATGAGCAGTGATGTTTCTTTCTTTAGTTTAAATTTATATTTTGCCAAATTGAGTTTTGGACTTCAGAAGCTTTGATAATTTGTTAATTTTCAGGTTTTCCTCTAAATTTTTCCCTTTTAACTAATTTCTGTTGTAGATAGAGGTTACCAGAAACAATTACAAGGTAAGTGTAGATTGCTTGTAATATGCTCCTGTGTTTTATCTCTCACAGTAATTACATTCTCAACTTTTTCTTCACCAACAGCGCTTTATCCAATATCTTGCATCCAGGAACACTTTGTTCAACTTAAATAACTACCTGGACAAAAGTGCCATGCAGGGTAAGGATCTTTCACTGAAGGAAATAACTACTATATTTTTTTTTTCTGTGATGGTGCATGTGCTTGTTGTACACTAGGGGCTAAATGACATTTAAATGGAAGAGTGTTTTGATTTTTATTGCATGAGACATCAAAGAATGTCCAGCCAACAATGTAGACACAGATAAAGTGAGATTCTGGGTTACCTAGGTGAGTGCTAGAAATCTGTCTGTAATGTATGTAGCATTGCACACACAGCTGTAAATTTTACAAAGTGAGCTCTTGTTGCTTATTAAAATAAACCTAATGAATTATCAGCACAATAATAATTTTTGTTGTTGCATTTTAAAGCCTTAGGAGTAAATATTTACTGTTAAGGTGCCTGGAATAGTAACTAGGATGTGCTGTATAAATAGGGAGAACTTCTTCAAATCTGTGATAAGTCCTTTAATTACTTGCTAGTGGCAGAACACTTTTTTAGGTTTTTATGTGGTGTTTGAGGGATGGGCAGATAAGTTACCAAACTCTGCAGCATTTTACGAGGACTACATTTTTATTCTAATTTCAAGAACATCTTAACAAGAACTGCTTGGTGCTTGCCTAATCTTTTATGCTCAGTTCTTGTCTAATATTTTAATGTCTTTAGGTGTTTATTCTCATAATTGCAACAAATGCTTTCGTAATTGTAGCAACTTGGGAAGAAACTAACGTCACATCTCAAGATTCTGGAAGGGGAAGGACTGGAAGGACATTTTATGCAAGCTGATGTAAAATAGACTAGTAGGAGAGTTCATGAAAAGAACTGAAAAACTGTACCCCTTCAAAATGTCTAACTTGCAAATGCTTAACTTTTAGGCTATGATATGTCTACCTTCATTAGGCGATACAGCAGATACTTGAATGAAAAAGCACTTTCATATAGACTTGTAGCAGTTGACTTCACCAAAATGAAAAGAGGGTAAGACTACTACTGCTAATTCTGTTTGAACCTTTTTGTTTCAGGGGGCAGGACAAGGAGGAACACAGTTGTTCTTAAGCTTGTCATAGAATGGTGTTCTTTTGGCCCTTTGAAGCAATATTGTATTGTTGAAACAATATAATGGTGCTGAGATCTCTGTGTATTGTAAATATGTGTCTTTTATTCTGTAGGATAGATGGAGTGATGAGAACTATGAATCCTGAAAAGCTTCTGAAAACCCTTCCAATCATACAGAACCAGCTTGATGCACTCCTTGATTTTGATGTAAGTACTTTATGCTCAGTGTTAAGTATCACACCCTCATTTTGAAGTGAGAGTTTCATTATTTTGTTAAATACTAATTTATTTTCTCATTGCTTTCTACACAGGCAAATCCAAATGAACTAACAAATGGTGTAATAAATGCTGCCTTTATGCTCCTCTTTAAAGATTCCATTAGACTTTTTGCAGCATACAATGAGGGGATTATTAACCTTTTAGGTATGTGAGATTTTTTTTAGCTTTTGAATTTTGTGAAAGATATCGGGAAAACTAAAGAACATAGACAATTTCTGACTGAAGTTTCTTAATAAATTGTCTCTTTTGCTGTTAAATAAAGTCTGTCTTAGTTTTAGTGACCAGGAGCATAGGCTTACACATCCACTTCTACCTGGAAGAATACATGTTGAAGCAGAAAGTGAAATGAGAGGGTGATTGGTGAGACTGAAACAAAAATACTATGAAAGTGCAATGGATAACCTTTGCAATTTGACTGTAAATGTTTGGTGAGATATGTAGTGTTTTGAGTATTTAATATACTCACAGTATGGCTGAAATCTGTTTTCCTGTACTTCCTTTAAAACTTGACTGGTCACCTTTTGACTGGTACATGAATCTGCCTGTGCTGATGAGATGAAATGTAGGTGGTTTTTTTTTTTAAGGGTGATAAGCTTTTAGGAAAGCCTTTTCATTACTATTTAAGCAAATTTATGAATGAAACCTTCAGTTTGTTCTGTAAATCCATTAGTTTTTACTCAGTGCCATATTTGTAAGTATATAGGGTAAAACCATAAAAAGTGAAGAATGTAATTGATGCTCCTTTTGGTAGGTCAGTTCAGTATATGTAGCCACTTCAGTATCAAAATGTATTGATACAGGGTCTAAAAAAGTAAATAAATACCAGGAATATTTTCAAATGATAAAATAATTTGTCTCATTGCCAGATAATAAGCTGACTTTTTGAAAATATTCATCATAATACCTAATTTAACAATTTGCACTGATTCACATCCATGTTTCATTAATTATTGCAATATAGTCTAGTACATTGAAACAGAAAAATCAGTGGTTTTGTATTCACTGACCTATTATAAACCGTATTCCTGGAAGCTTGAAAATGTGAATAGCTTTGAGTTTCTGCTGTCGGTTCTTACTGAAGGTTGTGTTAAATTAACTTCTATAATATTGTGTCAGCTTTTTGGTGGGGGAGGAGGGTATTATCTTACAAGAGTTTCATTTGTATCCTCAGAAAGATATTTTGATATGAAGAAGAACCAGTGCAAAGAAGGCTTGGATATTTACAAAAAATTTCTAGCCAGAATGACCAAATTGTCAGAGTTCCTCAAAGTAGCAGAGGTAAATTTATCTATGTGTATGGAAAGGTTATAGTTTAGCCATCTGTATTGGTACAGTATCAATATTCATAAAAACACCTTTAAACAGATTGTTTGCTTAACTTCATTATACGAGGAACTATTCTAGAGATTAGGTATTTTAAAGATTGTATACGCTTGTTAAAACGAAGTGGGATTCTTTGGTATCCTTTTTATTAGCCAGACCACATAGTAAATTTTCTGAAGTATCATTATAAATCTTATGAATGCTCCAGAATGTATAAACTGATTATTAAAGTCTATTTAAAGATCATTATAGGGCTCTCCTTTGCTGCAAGTGCTTAAAAGTTGAGAAGTAGTTTCAGTAAGCAATGTGATTTCTAATGCTTCTAGCATTAGGTGTTTCTAATATTTCTAGCAGGCTTTTCTGCATGAAAGTTAGCCTGGATGAAAAACTAAGTTTGTCTTGAGATGCAGTTTAATTAATTTGTGATTTCTAAGGTGTGTTCCTAGTGAAACTTGTACCAGTCCAGAAAATTGTCAACATATTTTTAATGTGCTAGCTCCTATATAACATTCAGACACTGCTGTTTTTTATTTACATTGCCACTGCATGTAGTAATGTGCTTTTTTTCCATTCTTTTTTTGTAAACCCAGCAAGTTGGAATTGATCAGGGTGACATTCCAGATCTTACTCAGGTAAGTGTACATTGCATATTGATTAACTCAATTATTTTGTTGTTTGTGTTTTTAAAGGTTGGTATGTATTATAGTAATCATTCTTCTTGAGACTGTATTCTCTTCCGTGTATTTATATGTGGGATATATATATATATGTATATAGTAGCTCCTCACATGGATTAAATGTATTCAATACTTACACTTTGAAATTCTTAATGAGATTCTTTGATTGTTTAAATCAATAAAACCCACAGAAAATAATATTTTTCAAGAACTTCTGGTTTTTATCACAGAGGATTCCTTGGCAGCTAAGACAGAATTATCTTGCCATACCTAGAGGAAAACCTTCTATTTCACTCTAACTTAATATCGTCTAACACATTTAAAGATGATAGTGAGCTGGTTCAGTTCAATTTTTTTCTGTCCCCTTGAGTCTGAAGAATAAATTTGATGTTTCTATATAAACTCTTAATGCTGGCTTTGATTTTACTCAGTAATATGAGGGACACGTGCAATGCAGGCTGTGTGCTGGAAAACTCAGTCTGGAAGGTGGAATGCAGGGAAACACCTTCCAGTGAGGATGAACTGAGGTGTAGAAGGAAGGTGAGGAAATGGTTTGACATGGTGAAGAGGAAACACTGATAATCCACAGAGGTCAATAAGGCTATTCTTTGTGAGTCTCTCCAGCTTATAGGGATGTTTTATTTCTCACCTAGGGCCAACCCAGCAGAGCAAGAGTGTTTTGTCATTACTTCGGTAGCACAGAGTAACCTGCAGGGTGCAATAAACAGCCTGAGGAGACTAAGGCACAAACTGCAGTCCCTTAGAGCTTAAGTACTGGAGCTGTTGGAGTGCAGTCAGTGAGAAACTAAAAGTCTAATGTGTAATGTTTGAACAATCACATCTAATCCTACACTAGCTTCTTGAAACTAAATTTCATGGGTTAAGCATGAAAAATATATCTAGTGTGCAGATTTGCCTAACCTTATTCAGTGTCTTTTTAATATGGAAATCAAACCTAAGCCACAAACTTCCATTGTCAGTGCTGTTCATTACTGCCTACAGTATGATTTCCATCCGAAATCATGCATGCTTCAAAGCACAAATATCTAATGCTTGCTCCTAGCATTTAATATTAATCACTTTAAAACTTGCCTATTTGGTATAGAAGAAATATGACTGAAACTATCAGGGTAAGAGCAGGTAATGATTGAAAACAGTAGTTTGAAGTTTTCTGTTGGTGTTTGGTCTTAGTGTCATACTTTGTCTTTTGATTAGTACTGCAATATTCAGCTGGTTTGTATTATGCTAATCACAATGTACTCAAGTCTGAAGTTATTTATACCTCACTGGGTCAGTATGCCCTTGTTCACTTAACTGGGTCATTATAAGGTTCTTGAAAGCAAGTCGGTGCTTTTTATTTACTGGGAATAGGGGTATTTAACTTCATTTTGCTGCTTTTTTCATTTGAAACTTTAAGTGAGAAAATACTTAGTATCTACTGTGCCCACAACATTTATTTTAAATAGCTTAGCTGTTTTGTTGTAAGTGCACTTATATGAGAAAAGCAATTCCAAGCTGGTGGTAGACCTCAACATCCTGTCCATTTTGGCAATTTCACAGCCACTGCAAAACATTCCACTTAGAAAGTTTTGTGGCATTTAACATGAGTTGAATAATTGTACATGCATTTAGTGCCACTTCAAAAGTATTTGTTGGAATTTCTTAATACTACCACTTTTGCCTGTTTCTGTGAAGAAAATATTTTCCTTTGTAGGTGCCCTGTTTCACACTGATGTTGCTTTCTGTTAATATCTGTTCCTGTATTTCATGAATGTAACTGGCTTATTTCCCTCTGTATGGATGTTAGTCTGTCGTGTTTTGGGGGGTGGGACATGGAGGTGAATCATGAAATTCAAACTTTCTCAAGCCATTGGCTGGGTTAGCCCAGGTATAATTTCTGACATAAAACTACCCTGTTCACTCCAAGTCTGATGCTTTGTTGGATATCTGGAGTAGTAAGAAAGTTCAAAGGAAGTTACTGGATTGTTTGTGTTTTAGTTCTTTAGTTCTTTTGGTTGAGGGGGTTGTTCAGAGGGTTTTAGAAAAAGTAAGTACAGAATATGCATTTCCATACAAATAAGTTTGAGTGGCTTCAGGAGGAAAAAAAGATGAGGAAAAGTTTTTTGGGATTAGGGCACAGACAGTCTCCTGTTACTAAGGTTATCTAAGTAGCTGTGCCATGCAATGCCTTCTGCAAGCTATTGTGCCTCCTGAAAGATAAAGTGTGGGGAGGTTTAGTTTCATTGGGGATTTTTTGTTTTAGTTTTTTTACTTGTTGTTTTTGGTTGGTTGGTTTGGGGTTTTTTATCTCTGATACTTTTCCAAAAAGGTATTTCAAAATGTCCCCATGGGATTTAGCTGTCTGGGTCAAACACTGAATTTATTCATGATCTATTGTTAGACCTGTTAAATGCTGAGGTAACTGCACTGTCTCAGCTTACCTCACGCTACTTAAGAAATATAAGATCAGGTCTTCATTTTAAGACAAGCAACTTTATTAGGATTATTCTGATTTTTTTTGTTTTGTTTTGTTTTTTTTTCTTTTGATTCATCTAGCTTGAATTTGTCTTAAATGAAAGTGGGAAGCTAGAATTGAGCTCTGTATTTCAAAGGGGAGCTTGCCTGCCAAAGCCTTGTGTGAATAATATTTTCCTCTTTCCAGGAAATGCCTTGTTCTAGCTTTTGGTACAGAAGGGCTAGCAAGGGCAAGTTTGTTTTTCCTCCAAATAATGCCTGTTATATCTGTGCTACCTCCTGAAAGTTGGCGAGTGGTAAGAGAGGCTTAATGTCTCTGAAACTCTGCCAGGTAAGGAGGACTGACCTGGCAAATAGATTTAAATTTTAGAGGTACATTCCCTTCATCTAAATCTGCAGTCACGTTTATTTCACTTAGAGTAATTGAGTTGGTGTATTGTACAGTTACATGTTGAATAGCTACTCAGTCTGCAATAGTGTCCTTGGGATCAGATTGTGTTTGATTTCCTGTTTTATCAAAGCTAACATTCTGCTGTTGTCAGGTGTTTCCACTGCAGGCCTTTGACTGTAAATAATTGAATGGAGAGTTACTGGGTTTTTGTTGTTACTTGGGAAATTAGATCAAAAATGCCAGATGTTTGTTTGGGGACTTCTGTGAGTTTAAGAGAGTAGTGCTTCATCAGCTCTGGTTATTCTGTTAATTCTAACATAGCAAATACTGTTGCCAAAACCAGAAATCTAACTTGCATGCACAGAAGCAGAGCCACTCTGGGAAATCTTTCCTTCCTGCCTCTGTGGTCCCACTCTTTATAAGGAACCACCACTGAGTAGATGGAATTTAGGTGTGTAGAATGGCAGCAAAATTCAAAGACATAATTACTGATGTGTGAGATTTTGTTTGTTTTTAGCTGGTGAGAAAACTAATCTGTGTACTAAACAATGATGTGTTTTTAGAAGCAGTGTTTTATAAGTACTTTTAATTGTAGGCACCCAGCAGCTTGCTTGAGGCACTGGAACAGCATTTGGCTTCTGTGGAGGGAAAGAAAACAAAGGAAGTCTCTGCTGCCAGCAGGTGAGCACCCAGTGAATTACAACAATGCCTGTACTTAAGATTTGTCATTGTCATTCTAGTAGTTTTCAGGATTCAGTCATGATTTTTATTCACTTCCGAATATATCTTCTTAGAAATAAAAATGAAACACCTGGTAGCTTTGCCACATTTGAAATGCAGGTATGTCTCCCTGTGTCTCAGACAGACTTCTGATTATGCTGTAATAAACCATTGAGCTGAGACCTTGTATATTATTCTTTTTAGCTTTTACTTTTTTAAAGTCCTTTGACTTGTAACATTTATAAGGTGTTGGGTAAGAAGAGTATCAAAATCCAAAGATAGGATGGTATTTATCTGAATTGTTATTATTTATATATTCATGGTCTATCTCTCAGACCATGAATTTATCTTAACCTTCTTGTAAAAGTTCTTCAGCCCCTCCTCAGAACAGCCAAATTAGCTTAGATATGTTGTGCTGGAAGAAATTGTGTTATTTTTTCTGTCAAGTGCAGTATCAGTATGTATGAAAGTACTTCTAACTGAATAATAAGAGATCTCTTTTGGCATAGACATTCTCCCACAGAAACTTGGTAAATACTGATAAATGTATCAGGCTGAGCTGTGTTCCTATTTTGCTGTCTTTTTCCTCAGCTTATGTTTTTCAAGAATCTGAGGATTCACTGCCACAATATTCTGTTCTTATGTATAATACTGTGCTTTCTTTGCTGTTAAGTAGTGTACAAACAAGCTTTCTGTGCCTCTCCCGTTTGATAACTTTCCAGTCTAGTCTAGATAACTTTAAAGAGGAAAGACAACTGCTATATTCCACATTTTCCAGTTCCTATTCAAGGGAGTCACTCTGTGTACTCGTGCCTTTTTGTCATCAAACTGTTTTTGGGGTGTCTGCTCTTACCAGAGAATAAGGGAAGAGGTGACTGGGGAGGAGGATGACACACAACTAGATAAGGCACTTAATGATTAAACTGTAAGTGATGTATACTTGACTGTGGGTTTTTTAATTTATTTTTTTTTTGTAATTATTGCTCTTTTTAGAGCCAGTGCCCTATCTACTGCTGTTTCCACACTTGCCAATACAGGAATGTCATTCAGCCGCATGGATGAGAAAGAAAAGCAGCAGGCATTGGAGGAAGAACAAGTTAGACTGCAGGCACTGAAGGTAGGATGTTTTTAACAAGTTTTGTATTCCAATATTTTTTGTAACTGGATAAAATAGCATATGTGAGGAAGCTTGCAAGGTCACTCAGTGTTTCATGTGAGGAGTGTGAGCTGTGTAAAACATACACCCGTACTTTGACCAGTGCTGTAAAAATGCAGTGGACATATCTAGAAGTAGTGAGGGATGTCAACCTGAAATGAATTTAAACAAGGGTGTTATGTTGCTATCTTATTATTTGGTATGTTGTCACACTGATTTCTGAATGTGTGAATTGAACCATGAAGAGCCTCATAAAGCAGGGAGATGGGTCTTCCTGAACAAAGGTCCATTGAGCTGTTTCTCTGAGTGACTGTGGAGGGAGCCTGGAATGTGTAGCTTGACTAGAAGTGATTAACTTCTAGGCAGATATGAATTAAAAAATAATTATTTAAAACATCAAGTCTCACCTTGATTTTTACATGCATTGTTAAAACAAATACTCTTATTTCTAACTTGAATTATTCTTCTGTTTCTAGGACTTTATAGAAAAAGTGTTTTATTTATTAAGACTGTAATTAAGATTTTCTTCCTGGAAAATGTCTCCAGGACTGAAATATTAATAAATTAATAAGACTAATTAAAGTGACAATTGTCTCTCTCATCTTTCAGGAACAGCGATTAAGAGAAATCTCTGTAGTATCAAATTCCACTTGCACATCAGCATCCCCAAGCACTTTATCAGGAAAAAGTGTGAATGCCACTGTAGCTGTTGACCTCTTTGCTGCACCAGCACCCACAACAAATAGGTGAGAGATATTTTGGCTTCTGAAAGAAACAGAAATTACTGCACTGAACTGTAGCTCTACAGTCAACTGCAAAACTGTGATCATAGTTACCTCTCAGGTACCTTTTGCTCAAGTTTTCTTGGTGTACCCACAGGAATTTTGCCAGTAAGTGCTTAATTCTCAGTTTATTGTATCCCTGTTGTTGGGATGCTAGCAAATTAGAGACAATGAGATTGTGTTATTGCTTTTATGAATACTTGTACCAATGTCTGTTACATATCTTCACATTTCTCTCTCTCTCATTTCTTATTCAGCATGCCCAACCTTTCTAGTGATCTTTTTGATCTTCAGCCTGCATTTGTTCCAACTGTGCAAAGTACTCCAGCTATATCAACATCAGCAAGCAGTGCTTGGGGAGGTGAGCTCATACCTTGATTTGACTGTCTAAATGATAAGGGAATTCTTAGAATACAAGTTGCATACTTAATTGAATCTGCATCTTAAACCTTACCTATTTTGCATCCAAGCATTCATAACAAAATATGAAGAAAATAATCTGAAATTTCTGACAAACTTTCTTGAACATCTAGCATTAGTGTCCATAGAACAAACGAGTGGAACTGTTCAATAAAGGGGACAGAAAGAAGAAATGTAACTAAAGATCAAAGCTGAAAAATACTGGAAAATAAAACCTAAGCAGGTATAACTAAGAAGATCCTGGACTAGGATTTCCATTTAATTAAGCAATATTTAATATACTTGTCATTTAAGAGGTGTTGGTAACTTCAGAGTTCTTGTAAAAAAGCTGTGGACCCCAGTTTCTTCACCCATCCTTCCGAAGAATGGTCAGGTTAGATGTCAAAGAAATGGCTTAAATGCCTAAAGAAGGCAATGTTAACACCATGGTAAATGTTTGTGTTTTACTAGGTGAAACTGATACTCTTACATGCTATTTAAAATGTAGATTATTGAAGCCAAAAATGTAGTGTCTAACTTCTTTGATACCAATGTCAATATTAGAATTATTTTTCCTAAATAGAAACTAAACATTTGTATCTAAAATTTGTATCTATATAATATCCCTCTGAAATTTGCATCTAACTTTGATCATTAGGTAGAATATTTACAGTTTGACTTTGTCTAGAGTATTCTTTGTCTAGAATATTCTCATATTCAATCATTTCAGTCTGTTTTTCTTTTCCATTATTTGTACCCTGTATTCTTTCCTTCACTTCTGCATCTGAAAGGTCCTTTCTCGTCTTCAAATGGTTGTGTTGGTTCTCCACCTCATCTGGACATCTTTGACATGAAGCCAGTTGAAGAAGCTGTAAAATCTGCCACCCCTTTCATCAATTCTTCTTTTTCCTCCAAACAAACAGTGGAACTATTTAGTGGTAAAAAAACTCAACAAATCCCATGTCATTTATTTGCAACTGGAGATGATAATGCTAATAATGTGGGCCATGTAATCTTTTGTGGTTGAAAGAAACTATTCTTTTGTTCTGCTTGCCCAGTCTAGACAACCTAAGACTTGCAGCTGAAATCTGCTGATTTCTTTCAAACTGCAGCCTCCTTTCTCTTTTGTAATGGGGAATGCAGGAGTGACTTGGCTTCTCAAATCTGTAAAATAAAAAAAACCCAACTTTTTATAATAGTAAAATTTCCTGAGTTTTAACTGCAGACTTAATTTTTAGGTTCCCTCTTCATGTTTATCTTTAAAACTGATCTTATTTTTGTCTCTCTTTGCAAAGATGACTTTAGTGGTCATAAGCCAACATATGCTTCTGTGTATCATCCTTTGACTGTTGATGGTAATTTGATTTTTTTGTTGTTTTTTAAAACTTTCTGGTTTCACTGGAATGAGTGATATTACTTCATGGGTGTATTTCATTCCTCAACTTTTTTTTCAGGTTTTCCTCTTCATTCAGCTTCTCCAAGTACTGCCTCTTCAGCAATTAATGTGGACTTTGATGCTGTTTTCGGAGGAAAATCTGCAGCACCAGAGTACAGGACTGCAAGTGGTAAAAACTGCCTTATGACTAATTTATACCCTATAAGCAAAAATTGCTTAACAATTTAGCATAATTGCTATTGCAGTTGGAAATTTAATAACTTAATATAAGCTGATTATGGACTGATAAGAAGCAATCAGTTTAGTTGTTAGCTGTTAATTACTTTAAAATTAGCTTTGGCTGATTTCATTCTCTCTGTAATAACTGTTTCCTTTCTCTCTGGGGGAGCAAACTTTGAACATGGCCCACTGGATGTCTCCTAATGGGTAAGCTCATGTTGATTTGTCTTCTGTGCTTTCACTTGATACATGGTGATGACTTCCCTCTGACTCCATTCACAGGCACAGCACTTGCAGAAGTGCAGAACTGGTTGTGTGTGTTTCTTTAAGAATACTTGAGTCAGAGTCTTTTTCTTTTGTATAGCAAAATATTGTTGATATACAGTTAAAAAATCTTTTAGATTAGTAGGTACAATGCAGTATTCCATAAAAAATAAGAAGTCAAACTATGCTGCTATCAAAATCTTAACTACTTCCATCATGTTGAACCTTCACATATAAATACTCAAATTAGTGTTCTGTAAAGAAAATACCTCCCTGGCCTATGGATGTTGTTTATTAAATGCAATGTAACCATGTTGTTAACAGCTGCCTTTATTTTCTTTGTTTAGGTTTTAATTTTCTAGATGATGTAATGCAACCTACGGTACCACCTCAAAGTCAAAGAGCTGCTGTAGCCAGCCAGCAAAGTGGAAAAATTTTGGCAAATGACCTCGATTCTTCACTTGCTAATCTAGTGGGAAGTAAGTGTGAAGCTTTTAAAATTCATTTTCCCATTTATTACTGAAAGCACAGCAAGTTTTTTTTCCCTCCCAAATTAAAATGCTGAAGGATTTTGTCTGTTTCTTTCTTCTTCCCCCACAGATCTTAGCTTTGGAGGAACTCCATCCAAAAAGTAAGTGCATATATGTACTTAGAATATTTTCACATGACTGTTTGATAGTCTCTGAAACTAACATGGCAAAGATCTAATCACTTGAAACAATTTAAAGTAACTGAAAAGGGCATTGGAACAGTGTGTTAGTGGTCAGTCACCATCACATGGCCAACCTTAACTTTTAAAGTAGCTCACTTTAATTAGTTTTGCAATTGCTATATTTTTATTGAAGTATTTTTATTAAACACTATAAAAGTCACATCAAACTCCAGTTAATCATTATAATGCTTATATAATCATTATATGCACAGTGCAGTACTGATAGTTCACTTTCAACAGAATTTCACACATACTGGAGAAGAGATACATTAGTAGTTACTGAAATTCTGAGTGTTTCTTCATAGATTTCAGCTGTGTGCATGCATTAAGGCATGTTTGGGTTTCCTGTTACGTTTTTTCACTCTAGCTGTTGCCTCTCCATGAAAACTAACACCATGGTTTTGTTTTAGATCAGATATGCAGTGGTCTCAGCCTACAGAGAAGAAACTTACTGGTGGAACAAACTGGCAAGCAAAAACAAGCACATCAACCACATGGAACCCAACTCCCTTACCCACTATTCCACACATGGTAATTTCTGTGCTGTGAAATCACACTTCATTCTAGCAAATGCTGCTTCCCTGCTTACGTTAATTTATAAAGAACAGCAGAGGCATTTGATACAAGACTGGGGGTCGCAGGGAATGCTTACAGGATCATTGGATTTTGGTGAATGAGGTAGAGATTTTAGCATCCTTTATTCTTTATTCCTTTATCCTTGCTGAAATACTTGTCAATTAAGGACTTATGTCTCAAGTGAAAGCATGATTACCTGTTTCATTTCATAAATTCTTTTGGGATTGAAACAAATGATCCCAGTCCAGAAAATTTCTGATGTGCATGTTTGCAATGTTCCCACTCTCTCCCACACGCATGTGCTCACAAAAATTCACTTTCAAGAATCCAGAGAATGTGTTTTAAGGGCAAAACTGCTGTTCCTTCCAGTCTTTGCTCCTTTTTCAATTGTATCATGAAACACTGCTGCAACCCCTGCAACGCACCTTAATAATGAGGTCAAGCAGCACTTCAGACTTTTGATAATGCTCAACTGCAAATTCCTCTTTTGAACACAGTACAAAATGTTAAGTGTATCTTTTATAGTTACTTAAAGGAAGAATTTTCATTTCTAGGGGGGATAATTGTAGGAAACTGACTTTTCTATGCTTTTAAAAGAGGTTTTTCAAGTGTGTTGTATTGATAGTATATTCAATAGAAATATGAATCGCTTCTAAAATATAGCTGCCTTAGAGGGAAGTAGGTGTTCATCTCAGTTATGTAGACAACTAGGATAATTACCACATTTGCTGTGAAGTTTGGACTGTTTCTGACTTAATTTTGCAATAAGCATAGTTTTGCCTTTAATGCCTCTTTTCCTTGTCTTACATGGCTATGCTCATTTAGGATTAGAGAAGTTGAATACAGTATTAAATCCAGTATTGGATTCCAAAATGAGACTAAAAACTTTGATGAGCAGGCACAGTTATATTGCACTTTTATATGAGATTTTTGAGACCATACAATCTCTTTACCCCCTCTAGGTGCTCTGGAATGTGTTGTTGGAGTGCTAATGCATTTTTATTTCTGGAACAGAGAGGGTACCTTAGTAACCATTGATCACCATGGATTTAAAGTTATGTTTTTATTTTACGTGTTCATCAGGTCTATGCATTTGACTGTTTAATGCCAAGTGTCTGGTCATGCGTTTTCCTGAAACTCCACAACAATTACTGATGTGAAGATACTGCTCAGATATAAGCCTCTTTAAAATCTGTGCCCCAGAACTGCAATGGTCTCAGTGTTCTGGATGGCCTCTGGCACTAAGAACTCCAGTTCATGTACCACTGCATCCTATCCCACAGCCAAGTGTTTCATCTAAGCACTTGGGTTTCAGTGTAATTACCACTGCTTAACAAAGCATGGCCTTATGAAGCACATGCATTGCCGTGCCTGTGAATGTAACCTGATATAAGGCTTAAAATGCTCTTCATTTTCCTTTTTTTCATATTGTGATACATGCTGACATCAGATGTTAATATGTGGGCAACATCGACCTGACTAAACATCTCCTGCTATTCACTTAAGCCGAATGGTCACTGGCTTTCTTGACTTTCTTTTTTCTATGCCCTCGTCTAATAGTGGGAGCAAGAAGGAACATTGCATGCCATGCCCTCTAAAAGCTTCTCGCACACATGCTTGCGCAAGCAATATGCTCAAATCTGGCTAGGTGTAGTAAAATCTCTAATTTTGCTGTAAGTTGTACTAGTGGTCACTGTCTAAGCATAGTAACTGATGTTATTGTCCTTGCACTTTATTTTCCTCAGCCTTCGATTGTTTTAATAAATGAGCATAGTTAAAAAGTGTTGTGGTACTGGACTCCATCCCTTAGTTAGAATTTCCAGCATTAATAAGTATTAAATAATTTTCTATCTTATCCTTTTGCTATGCCAGAATGGAGTAGACTATCCTGGATATGTAAGTCAATTTCTTATTGAAATTGGTTATTTTTAGTACTGAAAAATACATGTTTTTCAAAGTCATATATATGTTACTATATATATATGCACAAGTTTCTCTAACATTCAAAATCTTTTTGATTAAAGGTACCTGCTCCTATCACATACCCATTGACCACACCTCAAGTGCCTGTATATGGGATGGTAAGAAGCATGATTGGTTTTGTATTCCTAAAAACTGAGTTGTCTCTATCTGTGGGTTGCATGTCATGAATTACGATGTTCAAATTAAATGTATTGGTAATAGTGTGTGAAATCTGGTATCTTTCCCACACTGCATTGAAAGACACGACTCTGAAATTGATATAACAGCAGTTTTTAAAATCTTTTACTTTTTTCTCTGTGTTTATATATTTCCTTTCTACTATACTTAAAATGCAAAAATATGTATCTTTACTTATGTGAATGTAGTTTGAATTTTATATATTTGTTTTTGTGGGGTTTTTGTTTTTGGCACAGGTACCTCCTCAGGTTGGAGCTGCTCCTTTGATGGCACCCCCTTCAATGATGTACACACAGCCTGGTCTAAGGCCAACAAATCCTTTTGCACCTGTTTCTGAAACTCAGGTGAACGGTGCTCTTTAATCTTGTAGACATTGAAACTTCAGCCTTGGCAAACACAACCAAATGCTTCATGAAAGGCTGCTGATGTATTTCTGCATGTGAAAGTGAGGGGTTCCTCAGTCAAGGGCAGTTCCTCACCTGGTGGTGAGGAGGCAGATTCAGATGATGGAATTGCCGGAAGCAAGGAAGAAAGTAAAAATCAGATTTTTTCCTCTCACTGTTTCAATATTAAGTAAACAGGAGTGGTGAAGGTATGTAGGTTTAGTCTTGCTATGACATTAGCTGGACACTTGCATTTCTAGTCATGCTGACCAGACCAGTGTTGGAAGTCTCTTGAAGGATCAGGTGATGTGGGAGTGAAAAAGGCATGGACAAGAGATTATTCACACTGGAGAAACTGTACTCCTGTCATCCAGATACATAGGTCTTAATATTCTTTGGGGCTATTTTAAAGTGCCAAAGCCTGTAGACTTAACTTACAAGTAACAAGACAGCCAAACAGATTCTTTATTCTAAAACACTGGGAAACCATTTGTTATGTAAGTGGCATTAATACATCATCTTTGTTTCACAGATACAGTTTATGTAGAGTCACCAAAGCAACAAGATGCGAGAACAACCAAATACTGGTAAAAAAATTAAAAGACTGAATTTCAATCTTTCCATGATGTATTCCTGAACAGGGCAACTGTTTATTCCCTGTATAATACTATATTGTTTTGAACTGCAATGCTCTAGAGATTCTTGTTTATAACAGTCACTGCAGTGTGAAGTCATGTTTGTTTCCTGATTTACGTTTTTTTTTTAAACTGCTCAGCAGAAAACTATTTTTATTGAGGTTGACTCAGAAGGTGCAAGCTGGATTATCATGTTCAAAATCACATAGAAGGTTACCTGATTGCTCTACAACCGTAATCATCAGTGGATTACCTTAGGAATTGGCTGAGAATGTTAAAGCTATTTATTTTATTCGTAAATTCTGTGGCTGTTGTAACCAAGACACAACATGAAATCAAGTTGAGCAATAAAACTTTTATGTGCTCTGATAAATGCTCTGATAGAGCAACGCTTGCATTATCATAATGCCATCATTGTGTGGAATCAGACAGCTTTTTCACACTTACAGGAGTAGGGGAAATGAGTGTGTTCCAGAACAGCTTACACAGCCTTCAACAGGTGCCAGGAGCTGCACTTCCACGGGTACCTTCTCTGCAGGTGACACCTCCCACCATGGGCTCAGGGAAGAGCAGCCTTGGGAGCCAGTGTTTGTCAGTGCCCCAACTACAGCACATGGGAGCAGTCAGAGAGTCTTGTTGGTAACTGCAGCAGAGAAAGGAAGGGAGCCAATTCTTCTTTCTAAAGTCCATTAGGTCAAAAGACTCAAACCTTGCAGTCATGCTGATACTTGTGAACTGGCAATGATTTTGAAATTATCTAGCTGTAGAAAATAGCTTGTGCTTCTTTTCTGAAATAAGAACCTAGTTGTAAACCATATAAAAATAATTATTTTTAAATGTGTAAATAAGTGTAAACTTTTAGATAGTTGTTTCTTTGATGCTGCAGTAATCTTTTCCTCCTGTAGTGATTTCAAGGTAAAAATGCTACATTAAGAAATCTGGACTCTTTTTGAGAGGAAAATCTTTAAAATCAACTAATTTATGAGTTCACAATGGGTCAGATGTGTACAGACTTCTGGAACATATTTTGTACTTAAGAATCTTCCTCCAGAACTGAAATGGGCTATGGAAATGCCTTATCTTATATTTTTCACTGTCTGATAAAAAATGATAGCATTAAAAAAACCCAGTAGTTACAATTAAGTAGATAGAAGCAGGAACAACCTTTCCTCCAGAAGTTTTGTGGCAAAATGCAATGAAAAGCTCTTCTGTAAAATTACTTCTAATAATGATTAATATTAAAGCTGAATTTTCTGTTGTTACAATAGACCTCCAGCATAGTATGTCCTTTATCCTTTGGAGAGTCTGTAATTGTAGAAATCACTGCAATCACAAATTGTATCTCTCACTCTCACTATAAATGCAGATAGGCCTGAGAACCTTGTCAAACTCTCCTGTAGAGAACTTCTAAATTAAGCACATTCCTCAGAGTGAGAACAACCTTTCTATTTTTCTAAATGCTTAATTCTGTCCAAAGATTGCAAAAGTATTATTTCTTAACCCTATGGTAAATATTTTGCCCAATGAATCAATACAAAAGAAACAAAATAAAACTCTTCCCCCCAACCCTTGGAATTTTTAACTGCTAATTTCCTGGAAAATGCAACCTTGCAGAAATTTAAAACTCAGTGTTCCTTGATGTATATTGATTTTGAAAGAATTTGGACTAGTATATGGTAGTTTAATGTTCAAGTTTGAATTACAAAGGGCTTCAAGCTTTAATCCACCTTTATTGGATTGAACAATTGTACAATTTTAAGCCAATGAGTTCTTCAGTGCCTGTAGTTGCCCTCCACATGATGAGGGAATAGATGCCAGTTAGAATGGGTAGTTGTGTTGAGGAAACTGTTTATTTAAGAAATAGTGAATTCCATAGATTAATTCAGCAATCAAAAGTCTTGTGTTCAAATTAGATCAGTCCATGTATTTATAAATGTCTGGACATAAATGGCAGAAGTGAGAGTGTTACAAGCAGGCAGTTCCTAGCACTGTAAGCTGTAAGGTCTCTTTCTTACACTGAGTTGTATAAGTAATAGCACATTATTTTAATAAAATATGCAAATAAACGCCTGGCAAGCAGTATATCTTTGTTATAACTTTATTTCAGAGCATTCTAAATATCTGGAATATACCTGGCTCAGAAATGGATTTAGTGCTGGATAATAGCTTGTACTATTTCTTATTTGCTCTGGATCTTTTAATGATTCTTTTGGTCTGCTTTCTTGTAGCAAAGCTGTCTGATACAAATTTATTAGTATTAAAAAAGGAGAAACAGCCACAAAGTGTGTTTTAAAAACTTTATAATCTACCTTCTTTTGATGCTTTGAAACACAGCATTCAAGTTGATCCTTGTGAAGCTAAGATTGCTGTGATCTTTCTCTCTGCACGTGAGCGTGCAGACCTGGGTTTTGCCCACCTCTTCATTGTGCGTGTATTGGAACATATGAAATGGCAGGGTATGTGTTTAAATAACATACATGAGAAGTGAAAAACAAGGACTTAGGATGCTGCCAAGGCTTTTATGGTTATTCTCAAAAAAAATTGCCCCACTTTGAATACCAAGGTTGTTTTTGAGGGTGACTATACCAGCCTGCAGAAGCTGTGAACAGTAGTTGTGATGAGTGAAGAGAGCTGTATATAAATGTGACTTTCCTTCCAACTTGGATCAGAATCATATTCTGAATACTTCAGGAAGCTGATAACTAAGATGTCTCTCCATGTTTGTCTGAATGAGGAGGAAGACTTTGATGTGTGCTGTACACTTCACATTATTGTACTTTAGTGGGTCACTTGAGCCTCACTGTTTGGACTTGGTGCTGCTACAGGCAGCCTATCATGGAGTACGCCATAGGATGACTTCTGAGGGACTTTGGAAAGGTGGATTGTGTGAGGCCTCTTGGACTTGAACGTGTACCTCTAAGTAACAGGGGTTTTCTTACGTTCTCTAGATAATAGTTTGACTTTGCCTCCAAGAAGTTACTGGTTTTTTTAATATAAATTTTGGAAATATGTACTAGAAAAAAGCTCTGATCTGTGCACATAGTGGAATATTTGTAGGTAAAATAACAAATGGACTTTGTGTAAGAAAAAACAAAACCAACAGCAAAAACCACACACACACAAAAGTAACAACAACAAAACTTCTGACAAGATTGAATACAGGGTGTATCTATCCCCAGCTGGATTTTTTGATGTGTGACAGGGACAGGGGGGTTACAATTAGAATAATAGGCACTGTGGATCGGTGCTTAATTTGTACATAAAAAGGAAAACTTAGTTTGGGGTAGTTTGTATTGTAAGGATAACATCTAAAGGCACTGTATCACTCATTTATTTCCATTGAAAAGATTATATTTTTGAGCAATGGAAACTGTACATTTTATCATTTATACATTACTGATAGCTAGGAATATAGAAAACCTGTTGCTATGACTGAAGATGTCATAGATCTGTACATTGCTGCATCACTACTTTATTCAGATTCTCATAATCATTTATTTAAAGAGATTGTAGTAACTGATTAAAGGTTACTACATTTATGTTACATAAATTCCTGTTACAACAGGAATTGTAACATGAAATCTTTCAGTAAATATCAGATGTGTATCCTTGTGATTAAGCTTAATCCTTTACCAAATGTTTGGCTGGAATTTCATCTTGGAACAATGACAAAATAGGTGCTGGAACAGATTTCCCTCACCCCAACCTCCACATTATTTATTTAATAGGTCTTGTATGTTATGTTTTTCCCCATGACAGGTTTGTGCCTTTTATTGGATATTTATTTAAAAGGAGCTATGATAATTTAGGTTGCTTTTTTCAGATGTATTCTTGTACAGCTGTTCCTTTATGTGAGTTCCCTCATTTTAAAAGAATACAGAATGTGTGAAAAATATACTAGCCACAAACTGGAAAAAAAATCTAAGGATTTATGTTCTATGAATAATTTTTTTTAAATATAAGCCTAAGCACAAGACTGGCTATGTTGATATTTTAATTGTGGAACTTCACAGTTTGTTAATATGCAGATTGTTCATTTTTTAAAAAAAACTGCTCATATCCACATATTTGATGAAACAAGTTTTGGAAAAAAATAAACTTTGGAATATGCAAGGATTGTGTGTGTGTGTGATCATTTTTTGTGTGCTCAGGCTCAAGGCTTTCTATAATGCTGATAAGTCATGGCTGAATTGGGGTGCTTAATTGGCTTGTTCCTCCTGTGTGGTTTACATTGGAGAAAAGAAGGCTCCAGGGAGAGTGTGAGTTTTGGTTGAGTTTGCCTGGAGCTGGATTCATTCCCTAGCCATCAACATTCCATCAGAATGTGGAGGGCCTGGAACAGACAGGCTAGGGAAGTGTGGCTGCAGCAGTGCTCCTTTTTTCTAAATTAGAGAATTCTATTTTTAATAGTTGTATTTTCGTTTCTTTAGCTTTCAGAGCTCTGTTTGCAGTTGTGAGCTTAGACTACTTAATAGTTCATTCATGTTCTGTCACACTTCCATCTCCGTGCTGAAGCGCCGGGCAGCAGCAGCAGCAAATCAGCTGCGAGGTTCAGGTGCTCGGCCTGCACTGTCGCAGCAGCATCGCTCTGTCCCTCCTCGGAGAGGCAGTAATTCAGGGAACTGACTGCAAGGGCACTGGGAGAGCAGCGGTGAGAAGCTTATGCGTGTGAATACAGGGCAAGCATTATTGGTGATGCTTTAGAAGTTTTATTGTAAATTGTTAAAGGTATTGCTCCTGTTTGCTCTGTTTGGTTTGTCATCTATGCTGTGGGAAAGGCAGAGCAGCTGCGTTTAGAAACGAGCGCTTCCTCCGTAGAGAGAAGCAGAGGGTGGGATAAGCGACATGTCCTTCCCGGGACAGGGCAAGCAAGGCACTCGCAGTTCCTGCTACCCGGGCAGCCCCTGCTGCCGCAGCCTTTCACTTCTGCTGGAGCCTTCTCCTTCCTGCCCCGCCTTCCTCATCCTCATGGCCCAATGGGCGGTGCCCGG